CCATACCCCTCCTGCTGTCCTGCCTCTCCCTTGCCTTTCCATACACCCCTTCTCTACGTTCCCCTCCCCTGCTTCTCCCTATATGGCCTTCCATTCATCCCTCCCGTTGTCCCACCCCAAGCTCCCCCCTCCCTATGCCCCCCATGTCCCTCCCTTGACTTTCCATACACCCCTCCCCTTCCTCTCCCAGTGGCCTTCCATACACCCCTCTGTACGCCCCACCCTAAGGCCTTTACTATACTACTTTCCCTGTCCCTCCTACTGACCCTTCTTTTTTTCCAAACCTTTTTGACCTGTCAAATAGCGTATATTATTATTGACACTGTTTTACGTAACGATCACCAAAGTTAAAAAATGAGACAGTCTGCTTCGACCTATCCTGTCAGGACTAATCTGGGTTAAGCATATATTTACACCAATAGTATAGGCACTAGATACAGTACGCCCCTCTCTCGCCTTGCTGCGCGATGGCCACAATCGATAGCGGCGTCCGCCATATTTTTGTTTTGTTTTGTTGGCAAGCTTTGTGAAGGAGTTCATTCTAAAGCAATGAACTAATGTTTTCTCTCTCATGCGCAATAGGCGAGGCTTGGCCCTTGTAGATTTTTTAATGGGCGCCGTGGCGTACTATAATAATATCCAGATTACTAATAATAGATAGCATCTGTATAGAGCATGTCCCCACTCGAAAGCAAGCTCTATGCGCTTTAGACTATATATTTCCCCAGCAGACCATAGAACACCCAGAAACATTCTCAGCTTCCCGGGAAGCATACATTGCAAGCAGCTGGTTAAGCGCTCAAACACTAACAAACTGACAAGATCTTTCACTGTCTATAGCTGGGTACCAATGAGATTAAAAGTTAGTTCTAAACTCCTTGCTGGGTACCCATTTTCACCGGGGTGAAGTGGGGGAAAATTCGTGTAAAGGGCCTTTCCCAAGGACACAACGTCGGGCCCATGGTTCGAACCCCGAACCCGCAACCTCACGATTACGATGACGAGTCCGGTAGCCTAACCATTACGCCACCGACGCTACTACAAAGCAATAATAAACAAACAAACAAACAAACAAAAACACCCATGTATGATATAATGAAAGAAAACAGAAATCACTGAACTGCATGACATAAGCAGTGTTGAGTTGTTTAAATTCTTTCGTGCAATGGAAAATGTATGCCAAACACAGTTTATGATATGCTGTGCAAGCTTAGCACTTATCGCAGTCTGGCTATGGTTTCCTTTGTCACTATAATAATATATCCTATACATTACATCTTACATGTTCACTTCTACGCCTAACTGAAGTACCAGTGACACGTTCCAACCACCCTAGCGTCTTTTCTTTCCCTTCGTTATTCCTCACTGTGACTGTCTCTCTCGTTCTCTTTCCCTGCACCAAATGGTCGTTACTGCATCGATGTGCTTCTCTTGACTCAAAACAAAAACAAGCATCCCGTCTGACTGAAGTTTCAGAACCTGAGTGGTACGAGTAAAGGGGTCAACTTTGTAGATCATGAGTGTCATCAAGATTGGAATTTAGGGTTTTTTGTGTGTACAGGATCAACCGATTTCAGCTACCTTAGCCATAATGATTTCATTGCTAGGCACAGGCTGGTAATTAAAACACCAACAACAAAAACAAAAC